CCCTCAACTCGCTTGGCTGTCAGCTTCAAGCAGCGATGTTGTTTGCTGCGTTGGTGTGGCTCTGGCTGGCTGTCAGTGTCCACGGTTTATTTCCGCTAAATATGACGTTCATCTTCAAACCAGAGCCGTCGACACTGATGCCTCATGTAAATCCCAATTAGCACGTTTTTGCAACTTGGCCTGCAGGTTCCTGCAGCGACAGCGACTCGACTGTCTGCCCACATCGGAAGCGAGCGCCGGCGCGGGCGGTCAGGAGGCTCCCAGGGTTCCCCCTTCCCTCCCCCACTCCCCCACCTTCAACATAAAGGTAACTCCAGAAAGTTGGAATATGGTTTCAGGGTAGGATACCTTATAATTTACCATAAAGGGTTTAGGATAATCATATTCCAACTTTCTGGCTTCTACTGTAGGCTAGGATGCAGGATCCTGAGTAGTTTGGGGCTCAAGTTCATGGATGCCGCGTTGTGCGCAGAGGATTTCTTCCAGGGGCTTGGCACACGCCTGCAACCCAAGATTCCACCACACGGCTGAAAGCGTCTCTGACATTCTGCTGGGCCTTTCCGGGCCCTTGATTGTTAGAACATGGTACTCGTGATTCTAGTATCGATATTGTTACTGCAGCAAAGGTTGCATCCAGTGGATGGTGGCGGTGTATGAAGCAGTAATCCAGCTTGTTTTCGGCTATGTCCCGTTCGACTAAAGGTGACTCTAAGTCTCTTAGTGTATTATGGACCGACTCTGGGAAGCAACTACTTGGAGGTTTATAGCTAGGTATACGTAATACGTAAGCTATAAGTCGGATAACAATATAGTTAATAGCTATCGGCATATAGCAGGATTTGTAACCCCACTTGTAAACAGCGCATGTAAACAACACATGACCCTCCGAGTAGTTCATCCCTTGCATGAGCTGCGCGGAGCTGGGCCGGATTCGGGTTTAGAACCTCTTACCCGAATCATGACACATACGTGCAGGTTCCTTAGAATTAGTTCCTACAACAGTTGTAGTCTCATGAACCCTAAAACCTAAACCGAATAGTATAACATACCCCCCCCCCCCCCGGCGCCCTAGTCTACTTGTTGAGGCCGGCATAGGATGAGCCCTGAGAACACCCGATGCCATGGCCTCCTAAATCAATACTACGACAGCGCGGCTCAGCTTCTTTCCTCGCTGTCGAAAGTATTTGTCCACACCAAAAACCAGGAATCCCAGTCCGAACTAGGGAACCACGTCTTCGAAAGGTTCCAAAAACCCTGACAAATTCGGAGTTCCGCAACTCTGCACAGGAGGAAGCGGAAGTCATCCTCTACCGCTCTCAGGAGGTTCGGAAGTGGAGCAGTTCTTGACAACAAATCATGGTTTAGGGTCAGATGGCGCTCTAGTTTCGCCCTTAGGAGGTAACTTGGATTCAACAATCAGACAGGGAATAAGGGTCCTCCCTGCTAGAAGCTCCAGGTTACGTCTTGATCCATGCAGGCCGTAAAAGTTAGCAGTACTATCCCTTAACCATGTCTAATAGTCCCTGTAGAGTCATAGTGTCATACTGAAATGTAATCCACAAGCCGAGTCAGATTGTTACGGCCAGTATATGATGGGTCGAAGGCTTGGGCGGTTCAGGTTTTTAGGTCAGGAGATGGGTGATCCCAGTCCCAGAAAGTATGCCGTTTCTGTGAAGGGTTCATTTTGGATAATGCAGGCCTGCGGTGAATCGAGGGGCGTTCCAGTAACGTTCCTGTAAGACTTGGCCTCTTGACAGACGGTGTCCGTGCAACGGGGTACATCTCTGTGTACCCGTTCAATGCATGCATGTCACTCTGCTGCTTTTTCCTCGAAGGCTTGTGGTGCAAACGCCACCAATCTGCGTTGCCGTGTAGAAATCATGACTGTGCACGCATGTAAGCCGATGTAGTCACTCGCTTTGGACATTCGCTGCCACAGCGACGGTGTAGTTGCCAGTCATTATCAGTTTCCTGGGGTTCTCAAATGAAACCTGCGTGTCTACAGCGAAGACCCTCATGAACATCGTATAACAAGTTTAGTTCCTCGTGGATCTGCAATGTAATTCCGTGTACTTGTCAAATATAGGGGCCCTCATAATTAGAATCGGGTTTTGGGGCGCATATACTATACTTATAATAAGGAACCCCAAAATAGTTTTAGTAATTGTTTAGGCCCCTGTAGTAGCCCAGGGCTTGCCCAGATGGTAGCATGGAGCAATGTTTGTATTGTGCCATTGTTGCTTTCCGCGTACTGGCCTCGGGTGCTGGCCTCTTGGTATGTTGGCACAACCGACGGATATCAAAGCTGTGACGAAGTGTGTGGCGGAATAGGGCCTTGCAATGAAGCTGCTCTCAACTCACTCATGCAGGACTGCAGCTCGTCTGACATTCAAGCGTTTCTGAATAGCATTGCTGCCGTTCGAACGGTGGTGAGCTCCATTGGCACAGACCACACGTCGAGTTACGACTGTTCCAGCGGCCTCAGCTCCCAGGCAGGAAATCCGCAAGTACAGCTGGTCAGCCCGATGGCCGTTAGCAACGGCGAGTGCTACTAGTTGGCACTGTAAGCACCCCATTGAATTTCCGTTATGGCCTAATTTATAGAGGTACATACTAATAGCTACTTTGTGTGGGGGCCGGTGGTATCAGAAACCCTTGTAAGTAGTAAACCCCATGGTGTGCCTTTTTGCAACCCCAAAAGTAAGCCTTGCAATATCCATTATAGTAACCCTCACAGCACTGCCCCTTTAGTACCCTAAACCCAATTAGGTTATTTCGCAAACCTTGTAGTAAGGCCTACCCTAACACCTTGAGCACCCTAAACCCTACTTACCCTAGTGAGGTTATTACGTTGAAGTGGGTGGATCCACTTGCTCAACGCCAGTTCCGAGTACAGGTTGGGCTCGCTTCTGTTGTTGCGAGGCAGGGGTGGTAGAGGGCTATAGGATGGGTATGGCCCCCACTCAGTAACAGTTGGATAATATTAATAGTATAGATATACTAGGACCTTAATAGTTGCCTTATTATAGACTGTTACTGTATGGGGACAGTACCCCGGCTATAGGCTGTCGTGCTCATAGGTTTTGGGGTTCTTCCGTCGTCGAGAAATTGCATAAGATCCTGTACTGAGAATATATATATATATATATATATATATTGAATAAACATTGTCGCAGACAAGTAGTTGCCAAGATTCAAGATCCCTCAGGAGGCTCCAGGCGATTGCGACATCGATCCACTCCACTGCCCTACAGCCTTGAGTCTTGCGACGGCGACGTCGACGTCGTCAACATCGCTGAGCACGGCCACGACATCCACGAATACAGTCACTGTCACACTCTCTTCATCCAGCTCCTTGACGGCATCTTCCACTACGAGCACTTTCTCTTCATCCAGCTCCCTGACGACATCTTCCACTACAACCACCATCTCTTCATCCATCTCCTTGACGACATCCTCCACTACAGCCACAATCTCTACGTCCAGCTCTATCACACACTCTTCCTCCACCTCTGCAACCACCACATCGACCAGCACTAGTTTTTCCTCCACGACGAGTCGCACTACGACTGCAAGCAGCACTTCGTCTCTGAGCTCAAGCAGCTCATCGTCTGTCACTTGGTAGGGCTTTGGGACATTTTACATGTGCTCTTATTGGGCTTAAAAGAGGATCTTACCTACTAATATGTTTCTAAGGCTTTGAAAGCACCTCCTAGGTCAGTTCGTCCAAAACGACCACCGTCAGCACGACTACCTCCATTTCACGAACGACCCTGACTTCTTCAGTTACTGGTTCCTTGACCACCTCCACAACCACTTCCAGATCCCAGACTTCCACAAGCACTTCATCCTCTTCGTCGCTTTCCAGTACCACAACATCGACTGTCAGCAGTACTTCAACATCCACCGGAACAAAGTTGTGGGTCTTTGCACTGCCGTCCTTCTTCAGACCGGCAAGCAGGCACTTTGGCTTTCCACGGGATGAAGGATTTAGCCAAATTGCCCATATACGAACGAAGTTCATGCGCTTGAACTCACATCGATTTTTTTGGGTGATCTCGGGATAGCAATAAACACCAGTGGCCCGACACTAGTGCTCTACTCTTGCGTCCACCATCCATCTGGAATTGAGGCTTGTATCCCGACCTACAGGTCAAGTGTGCTTGTATGCAAGTATGCATGCAGACATGTCAGCCAGGTGTAAGCCGGTAGGCCATGTAATTGGTACACGCTCCGTTTGACTAAGCTGACCCTTTGTGTTTGCAAGACACAACTGAGAGCTTCGGTCACACACACACACACGTGCACGTATCTACGTAGGTAGGATGTACATGCCCGCTTGCGCATGAATGTATGTCTTTGTTTCTGTCTCTCTGTCACCGTGCCACTCGTGTGCATGCATGCATGTATGAGAGAGAGAGAGAGAGAGAGAGTGTGTGTTTTGTGTGCATGCGTAGGTACGTGTACGCACTGTAAGTATATATGTATGCATGAATCTATGCATGTATGTGTTTTTCATGAACGTATCCCATGTATGTATGTATGTATGTATTTATGTACGGATATACAGTATGTGCCAAGTTCGTAAGGAACACGACAGTTTGTGTCTTTTCTACTTCGACGGTTTCGCGCAGGTACACAAATGAATGTGTACACACATGCACGTAGGTAATTTAGTGGATTTATGGTTTGTTTGGGTTGTATGCGGGTACAAACGTTTGTAAATGAGATCTTGCTCCCATGTGTTATTTTGATCGTGTATATTAATGTACGTAGGAGCATGCATGCACGCAGCATTGTGGATGCATGCATGCACAATGCATGCACATTACGTACCTATGTGCATGCATACTTACATAATAAATACATGTATGCGTACATGCATACTTTACATGCATACCTGTCTCTGTGACTGCCTGAAGTATCGATGCATGCACGTATGCTTACCTTGAAGAGCCAAAGTCTGGTACTTTACATCGAACCACACAAAGGCGCATGTGGGAGATTTGTTTCAGCAGCCAGTCATTGCTTTCGTTTTGCAATCAAGGACGCACACATGTTGCGTGCAAGTTGTGCAGTTCGATTCACGACCGAAGGCCTGTCGGTGGAGGAGCTTCGTCCACATCCTCGTCGACAACAGTCTCAGCATCCTCTTCAACAACACGTTTCAACACTGTGACATCGACGACATCCAGCACTTCAGCTCCGAGCAGCTCCACATCAACACATTCGCTATCGGTGAAGTGGAGCATGGGACTGGTTGCTCTGAATATGTTCCTTTATGCCGTTGTGACGAATGCCTGAGTCGAAGCCCTCGGTGTCGTCTCGAAGACCGTCCTTCCCGAAACTAGAATCCCTAAACCTTACACACTTGATGGTCTTGATGTCAAGCTTGATTCGGGCACTTCAGACGCTCTCCTGAAAGTTCCAAGCGGTACGATTTTTCCCGACCTCAAATTAAGCCACCAGGTGCTTGTCTTTTGTCGTTGCAAGAACCCCACTCAGTGCCACAAAAGTGGGCCACAGCAGGAGGGTGTGACAGATGAATCGTGGATCATGCGTCTGTTAGTTGATGCAGTGCTGTTGGTCGAATCGCCTCCAAGCTAGTGCTCTCGTGGGCTAGAAAATGTAAGTTCGAGCCGCTAGGGGATGCAAGGTCGAACAATGCTCTGAGGCCTCCTAAAAGCTAGAGCTGCCCTGTACGTAGTCATCGATGTAATGTTATCTTCTTTCCAGAGACTATCATGGTTTGGCAGTGTGACTTACTACGTATGTTCAGTACTTAGTTGTTGTGACGATGACGATGATGATGGTGCTGCCGTCAGTCTTCTCAACTTCGCTGACAGGCCCAGCTTTTGTTCAGCACCGGGGTTTGTACTTGTACAGGTTTCCTTTTGTATGCGCGCCAAAGGCTGCAGCAAACGCATGGAGATTTCATGATGCTCCTCCGAGTAGCCTTATCAAGAGCTTGGCTCAATTCAATGGTTTAGGCAACGCATAACGACGTTCCTCTATATACTGTTTCAGGCAACATTGCTGATGGGAAGACTCGGAAAGCTATTTGAATTTGATGCAGTCTTGGTCACCAGCAGGTGCGGAGAGCGCGAACCGCGCATTCTTTGCCGCCTAAGGCAGCGAGATGCAGCAATAATTTGCAAGATCCACGGCTCTGCGGGCTGCACTACGTGCCCGAAGTGCCATGGCATGAATCACATTGCGGCCCGAGAGCATTTGAGAAGGAAATGTATGGTAGGTGTGTGCTACAGTGCGAAGGATGTACAAAACATCAGGCCTCTTGACCGGGTTCTCACATATTCTGATAGACTCTAGTACCAATCATTATAGTCTGCTGCGGCATTATGCCGCAAGTGAAGTTTGGCGAGACACCCAGATCCGCAATGATGGCTACAGGTTTGCCATAGGCTGCATAGTAGTTCCTTTTTTGGGTTCACATGTAGTAGCCTATCAGGTAATCCCCAAAAGAAGGAATTACTATGGAGCCTCAGGGTAGGCACTCAAAGTGCAAAGGAGACGTTGCTTCGAACACAGGCTTCTGGGTTTCGGAGCGTAGTTGGTTTGTTTCCGGCTCTAGAGTGTACTTGGAGGGTCGGGGGACTTAGTAAGTAAGTAGTAGGTAGACTTATAAGTACCCTAAAAGGGACCCTAATTTGGGTTGTGGTACTTATAAGTCCTTCAAATAACCAGTTACTAAGTCCCCCGACCCTCCAAGTAGGGATTAAGGCGGATTGAGGCTCGGGTTTGGGGTTACAGGGCCTGGATATGAGTTCAGGAAGAGTCACATGGGTAGTTGTCAACATTATGGTCCCTTCTTGGGAACCCTAAATAGTAGCTGCCGTACTATATTAGGGACCCAGAAAGGGACCCTAATATTGACAACCACCCACTTGCCTCGCCGGGGATGTTGATGCTACAACCCTAACCCTGATCGCAATTAATATAGGGACCTAAATCATTATCAGTATTTTTCCTAGGGTTCCTTATTATAACTATATACAATGGGCCCCAAAACCCTATTCTAGTCATTAAGGCCCCTATATTAGTTGACTGTTGGGGGCGATGGCTGGTCCAGCCCCAAACATTTCTAAGCCGCCTCTGTCAAACATGCGTAGAGTTTTCACCTACTATGTATAGTGTGTTTTTGTATACCCTTCTGCTCAAACTCTAGACCCGAAGCCTTAAACCTTGAGTTTCCTTCGTACGGAGAAAAATGCGGCAAGCAAACACTCTCTCCCCTAAGTATAGTTTTAAAAATTATCTTAATTAAGCCCCTGATTAATTCAAAAAAAGAGCCTTCAGCAGTCTTAAACCTTAAAGCTTAACCATAGGCCCAATAGTAGTTCCTGTTGGGGATAGCCTTATAGAATTCTAAACATTAACCCCCAAAAAAGAACTACTTGGGGCCTTTGCTTAACCTGAGCGTTAAATCTCCGGGCCCTGTCCGAGGAGTCCAGCCCGGCGGCCGCGAGCTCCGGCGCTTGAGTCAAAAAAGCGCTTAGGGTTCAGGGTTTAGAGGGTTTAGGGTTCGGGGTTCAGGGTTTAGTGTGTAGTGGTTTAGGGTTTAGGGTTGAGGGTTTAGTAATTTAGGGTTTAGTGGTTTAGGGTTCAGGGTTTAGTGGTTTATGGTTCAGGGTTCAGGGTTTAGTAGTTTGTGGTTCAGGGTTTCGTGTTTTTGGTGTAGGGCTAGCATTTGGGCTTTAGGGGTTTAGGCCTTAGGGTAGGGTTTGGTTCGTGGTTTAGGGTTCAGTTTAGGCTAGAACTCAGGCTTTCGGCATTTAGGCTTTCGGGTAGGACTTCAGGCTCATACTGGGGCAATCAAACCGGGTAAACCTTCGGTGCATGGGTCCTTAGCACTTTGCCAACTCTTCCTTTCAATTCGATGTTGGTGTCGAGCTGAATGCTGATCTGACACTGGGACGCATGTTGCAGGGAGCCTCTGTTGAAGGTAGGTTAGACATTGCTAGATCATGTCTACTCTACGTGAGAAGGAGGTTGCTTATTAGCTGCTCTCATAGGGCTTCCAGAGAAGCCACGGCAACGGAGGGGCAGCCAAGCGTCAAGCAAATATATGAGTTGCCGTCCCGAGGTCTACACGATATCTCAAGCCCGAATATGTGTATGAACTACCATATGAACAGGAGAACACCCAACCTGGGCAGCACCCCCAAAGCGCAGTTCGGCCAGCTTGTCTCGAGCACTTGCTGCACCGGAGCCGTTCGGTTTGAAAAGGCAGGTTTCAACTCATTTTTGTTTGCTGAGCCTTGGATCATCATGATTGCACGACCCCGACAATAGCGCAATTTGCCACCCCGCGGACTTCGCGAAGGTGTGGTATCACGCATCGTCGCATGCTCGGAAGGACACATTTGAAGTTGCAGGTCATTCCTGCGAAATCAGCATTCCGACATCGGGCCACAAGACGCCCGATCATGAGCCATGTTCTGGTCAACTTTAGCTTACACCAGCATTACGGCCGGGGAGGCCATGGGAGCAGTGCTTTCGGGTCTATGTGTTTTAGGACGCAGCCCGGGGAATTACGTTGACAGTCTTAAGCTTCCGAGTGCCCATGGTTCTGACCATGGTTGCTGCCCAGTACTTTAATCCCATGTGGGTGGTTGTCAAAATTAGGGTCCCTTTTTGGGTCCTTATTATAGTACGGCACCTAATATTTAGGGTACCCCAAAAAAGGGACCCTAATTTTGACAATTACACATGTGTGAGTTTCCTGCTCTCTGACAGAGAGGAGACCTTTGAACCGTGTAGTCTTTCTCAAATCAAGTGTGCCGTTCCAACCCAAAGCCCTAAACCCCAAAACTCTAGGCTTCAAATCCGTAGTTAGCTTTGCCTCAAGTTGAGCATTGGCTGTTGGGAGGGGTTCCCTCCTGGCAGGTGACCAAGGCCTTCCAGCAATACCAGGCTCGCCAATTTTGCAAATTAACTAAGCACCGACATGCATGTTTCGGTAGGCTTGAGTTGACTGCGAGTTTTCTGTGTGGTTCGGATAATCTAGGATGTCTCTGTGTGTGCCACAAGATCCAGGTTTCCATCACGAATTGGATCTCTCTGTTTCATCGAGCCTTCGAGATTCCAGTGTCAGACAAGGAGGATTACTTGCACCAGCGGGAGACGGTGATATGTAGCCATACCCACCCGCTGAGGCAGGGACCTTAACAACGTGGCTGTACGTTACATCATATACATTGGGAGCGTAATCTTGCATTTGGGGTCTCCATATGCTAAACCTTCACCATGTGGCACGCTCTCCTTTTGGGGTTTTGAGGCTACCGCGAGCCTGACGACAGCACAGAAAGCACTGCAATTAGCAAGATAAAGCACGGCTTAGGGTTGTGACAGGGGCTTCAGGTTTCAAGACTTGACGGTTTTTCGTTCTTGGAGATTGAGTTCTGGGCACCGATAGAAGCAACAAGTGCAACAACAACGGCATGAAAGGCAGCAGTCTCAAAGGCATCTGAGAACAAGACGTAAGATGTCCTCTCCTGATGATGCCAATCAGCAGCATTCAAATCTGTAGCTGCTCGGGCATTGTCGTGATGAGGAAGGACAGTCGCAGACAACTGCTCGACAGAGAACACCAGCATCGAAAGACAGCCAACCATGTGCAAGTAGCTAGCAGCGGCAGCATCAAGACCAAGATTGACTACTGTCTGTACATGTACAGATACGACGCCAGGTCCCTCGATGGACCTGTCCCCTCTCGGGCAGTATTGACAACTCTCACTGAAATGAATCCTGAATTACGCGTCTGAGATCTACAGCCCCAGGACCCTACATTCAGCCAGCCCCCAGGGATCATCAGCGAGCGACGACCAGAAAGCAAGTTCAAACCCGCAACCCCAAAGCCCTAAACCCTAAACCCTAAATCCTATACCCTAAGTCCTAAACCCCAAACCCTAAACCCTCAAACCCCTAAACCCCTAAACCCTTTTCCCCTAAACCCCCAAAACATGGTCGACCGGGAGGCTACCAAGCGTAAGGACTTGTGGTCTGAGCGCGAATGCGAACGTGCCCTCCGAGATGCTCGGCTCTTAGCCTCTACAGTAGAAGCCCTCTTATAATGTAAGGTATATATTCCTTAATTAAGGGATATACCTTATATCATATTCTGCGCCCTCTTATAATGTAAGGTATATTCCTTAAATAAGGGCTATTGGGCTCTCTGGGTACCCCTAAACCCTAAACCCTATAGAACCCTTACCCTACAACCCTATAGGACCCTTATACCTCTAAACCGGGTTAGGGTTCATGGTAGAAGCCAGAAAGTTGGAACATGGGTTTAGGAGGATTCGTGCTAGGATCCCTTGTCCTTTATTTTAGGGACATGAGGATACCAATGTTCCAACTTTCTGGCTTCTACCATAAACCCTAACCCGGTTTAGAGGTATAAGGGTCCTATAGGGTTTTAGGGTAAGGGTTCTATAGGGTTTAGGGTTTAGGGGTACCCAGAGAGCCCAATAGCCCTTATTTAAGGAATATACCTTACATTATAAGAGGGCGCAGAATATGATATAAGGTATATCCCTTAATTAAGGAATATACCTTAAATTATAAGAGGGCGCAGAATATGATATAAGGTATATCCCTTAATTAAGAATATATACCTTACATTATAAGAGGGCGCAGAATATGATTTAAGGTAATATTCCTTAAGTAGGGGGTATTGGGCTCTCTCGGAAGCAAGGTCCCTACCCTAAGGCCCCATAGTAGTTCCTTGTTGTGGTTAATATTTAGAATTCAATAAGGTAGTCCCAAAAGGGAACTACTTTGGGGCCTATGGGTAAAGCTTCAAAGTGTTCACGATTTAGGTCTCCGGGCTTTTCATGTGTCGCAGAGGTGCCGTGTCACACGTTCTCCGGTGACTCTTGCTCTCTCGATGGGGTACATATGTATGCTAAACCATGATTTCGATGTTGTCTGATTTCTGTTCATCGCACAGAGGCCCTTTGCAAGACCACTGTCTCGACATAGGCTTCGCAATAATTGATGGCAATATTCCATTGTTTTCCCCACACCTTGCCCCGCCCTATCACAGTCTGCAATTGCCTCCATCCAGGCAAACTCCAATTTCCTGACGTTATTTACGCGTAAGAGACATTAATGCATTGGATCATGTTCATGACGCTCATGGTGTGGCCGCACGAAGCAAAGTTGCGTCAACTGCAGAACAAGTCTGTTCACCCTTATATCAGTGATGGTTGTCGCTATGACTATCATTGCATGGTGTTGCATTTGCAGCAACGACCGTAACCTCAGTGTCGATGCTGTCAGTCTGCAGCATCCGAACTATGGACCATGGAGGGGTCTATTTCAACCTAGGTGCGTTTTCATGGTGCCAGCACCAGTGCCAGCGGCAGCAGCAGCAGCACTAGTCGCTGCGGCAGTCGTAGTCCTGGGCGCAGTCGTTGTTGTCGTCGTAGGAGCAGCACCTGTAGTAGTAGTAGTAGTAGTAGTAGTAGTAGTAGTAGTAGTAGTAGTAGTAGTAGTAGTAGTACTGGTGGTAGTAGCAGCACTAGCCGTGGCCGTAGTAGTAGTAGTAGTAGTAGTAGTAGTAGTAGTAGTAGTAGCAGTAGTAGTAGTAGTAGTAGTAGTAGTAGTAGTAGTAGTAGTAGTAGTGGTAGTGGTAGTAGTAGTAGCAGCGGTAGCAGTAGCAGTAGCAGTAGCAGTAGCAGTAGCAGTAGCAGTAGCAGTAGCAGTAGCAGTAGCAGTAGCAGTAGCAGTAGCAGTAGCAGTAGCAGTAGCAGTAGCAGTAGCAGTAGCAGCAGCAGCAGCAGTAGCAGTAGCAGCAGCAGCAGCAGCAGCAGGAGTAGTAGTAGTAGTAGTAGTAGTAGTAGTAGTAGTAGTAGTAGTAGTAGTAGTAGTAGTAGTACTAGTAGTAGTATGTAGTTGTAGTAGTAGTAGTAGCAGCAGTAGTAGGAGTGCTACTACTAGTACTATAGTACTAAACTAGTATTAGTACTAGTACTAGTAGTCGTAGGACTAGTAGTACTAGTAGTACTCGTAGTACTAGTAGTACTAGTAGTACTAGTAGTACTAGTATTACTAGTAGTACCAGTACTACTAGTAGTACTAGTAGTACTAGTGGTACGAGTAGCCCCAGTAGTTCTGGTACTTGTACTAGTATTAGTACTAGTACTAATATTGGTACTAGTACCAGTATTAGGGTACTTATATTGGTACTAGTACCAGTACTAGGATAGTGAGTAACAAGTTTAGAATGTCCTGAGTCATTGCGTTGCATGTCCAGGGTCTTTGCAGAGCCGCATAGGATTCTGTTACCCCTCTGTTGGTGACGGTCTTAGTTCCCTAAGCCCGCGAGGTGAGGCTAACGATGATCAACACCGTCAGGGAAGAGCTGAGAGACCAGGCCGCCTTATGTCCTCTCCTTTACACTTGCAGGGTGCCAGGCTTGAGGCTTCCATTTGGGTACGAGGAAGTGGGACCATAGGAGCGCTAGAAGGGTTGGC